CTGATGTGGAACAAATGTACTTACGCATTAGGGTGACCACAGACCACCATAAATATTTAAAAATATTGTACCGCTTTAAAAATGATAAACTTCGCATTTTCGCTTTTAACTGTCTGCCCTTTGGTTTAAAGTCATCACCTTATTTAGCAATGCGTACTATACGTCAATTAGCATCAGAAGAATGTTATCGTTATCCAGAAGCCGCTAGTGTAGCTGAGTCTCAATTATATATGGATGATCTCGTCACATCCCTACACGAAGATATTTCAGCTATCAAACTATCGAAACAACTAATTTCACTCTTTAAATCAGGAGGTTTTAATTTAACAAAATGGGCAAGTAACTCCACTGCCTTTCTTAATAGCCTTCCAGAAACGCACCGCTCTTCTGTAAGCTTCTCTGATGATGCTAATAATACCATGAAAGTTTTAGGCCTTGCATGGCTTCCCGCTAATGACTCATTTTTTATGACGAGCTCAAACACTAATGAAAAGTGCACTAAAAGAACAATATTATCTTTAGTCGCACGCTTGTTCGACGTGCTTGGTTTGGTTGCTCCAGTTATACTGTTCGCTAAATTGCTTATTAAGGAACTCTGGAATTCTAAAATAGACTGGGATGATACACCTCCAGATACAATTATTTACCGCTACTCTTCACTTGTGAAAGAGCTTCCATTGCTTTCAACTATAGCAATACCGCGCCATATTGGAGTTTTTAAAGACTGTGAAGTAAATATTGTTGCATTTTGTGATGCAAGCTTGAACGCTTACGGTTGCGTTGTTTATTTACACATTACAGATCCCACAGGAGATATTACTTTAAGATTATTGTGCTCAAAATCAAAGGTTTCTCCGGTTAAAATAACTACATTAGCTCGCCTTGAGCTTTGTGCCGCTCTTGTTTTGTCAAAATTAGTTAAACTTATTTATAACGCTTATAATTCTTTACATCCTATCACCGCTATATACGCTTTCTCAGATTCTACAATTGCTCTTTCTTGGATTAAATCTTCCCCGCATAGATGGTCAATATTTGTAGGAAACCGCATCGCTCAAATTCAGGAGAATTTATCACCTGACCGCTTTTTTCATATTAATGGTAAGGAAAATCCTAGCGATTGTGTGTCACGAGGTCTTTTACCGTCACAAATTATTAATAACTCGCTTTGGTGGCAGGGTCCTTCTTGGGCCTGCTATCCTATTTCACAATGGCCTATTGAACCTTTTGTACCTTGTAAATCTGGAAGTGACATACCTGAAATGAAAAAATCTGTAACACTTACCGCTTTAACTGTTGTCGAAGATTCCCCAATATATCAACTTGGGTTGAGAATTTCGTCATGGTCAAAACTTCTTCGCTGTGTTGTTTATGTACTTCGATTTATAAGAAAACTACCGCGAAACAAGTTTGTAACCGCATCCGATTTAAATACTGCTGAGAAAGCTATTATTCGAGCTCTTCAAGCTAAATATTTTGGTCATGATATTGCCAGCATTAGAAAATTAGATTTACCTTCGAAAAATATTCGTAAACTTAGTCCATTTATTGACGAAGATGGAATTTTACGTATTCAGGGTAGACTTTCGAGCTCTGATTTACCGTTTGAAACGCAACACCCCGCTTTATTGCCAAAACACGATCACATAATAAATATTATTGTTGATTATTTTCATAATACAAACTTGCACACTGGTCCGGACCTTTTGATGTCCATTATTCGTCAACGCTTTTGGATATTGTCCGCTAGAAACGTTATAAGAAAAAGAGTGCATATGTGTAAATCATGTTTTCGAGTATCACCTTCACACCCAACTCCCATGATGGCTGACCTTCCGTCAAGCCGTGTAATGGAGGCCAAAGCTTTCTGTCACACGGGAGTAGATTACGCGGGCCCATTTAAGATAACGCTTGTACGCAAACGTGGTCATCATTCACAAAAGGCTTACATTTGCCTGTTCGTATGCTTAACGACAAAGGCTATACATATTGAGTTAGCCTCGGATTTGTCAACGGACTCATTTCTTGCCGCTTTCAAACGTTTTATATCTCGTCGAGGTCCAGTTTCTTTCATGTATTCAGATAATGGCACTAATTTTGTTGGCGCAAAGGCTCAGTTAGATGAAATGTATAAACTTCTAGTTTCAAATAATTTTATATCCGCATGGAATGATGAATTAACTAAATACCGAATCATTTGGAAGATGATCCCGCCTCGGGCTCCACATTTTGGAGGTTTATGGGAATCAAACATTAAATCCGTTAAAACTCATTTAAATAGAGTAATAGGCGCACAAATTCTCACTTACGAAGAGATGTTAACTGTGTTGAATCAAATAGAATGTCTTATGAATTCCAGACCTTTATGTCTTTTATCCGCAGATCCCAACCCCGAAATTCTCACACCCGCACATTTTTTGATGTCCACTCCTTTGCAGTATTTACCCGCGTCTGAATTGTCCGCAAATCAGATGAGTCTAACTAATCGCAAAGCGTTGTTAGATAGTTTGGTTAATTCCTATTGGAGGAAATGGAGATTAGAGTACCTGCATACGTTGCAAGTCAGACAGAAGTGGTGTACATCAGATAACCCCGTGAAGGTTGGGACAGTAGTTCTTATTCATCAAGATGACATTCCACCGCTCCGCTGGCCACTTGGCGTTATACAAGAGGTGTATCCAGGTGCCGATAACATTATACGCGTTGCTTTGGTAAAAACGAAATCTGGATTTCTTAAACGTCCAGTTGTAAAATTATATCCGCTACCGCTAGAATAAATTAGAGTACCGCATGTCATCAACCGCTTCAACTCTACTCGTAAACATTCATGATGGCTTATTATTAATTAAAATTTGTTTCTTTTCAAATAACTTCCCGCTATTTAAGCTTTATGCTTCCTATCTTAGTATCTTTATATATTTGTTGAAAGTCCTGCGAACTTTCAAGGCGGGCAGGATGGTCACGCGGATTTAGTAATGGGATGCTAATGAATTATTGGGATGGCGCCACCTTTGGAGTTTGTTAGTTACTAATTACCGCGACTATCCAAAGCGTGGTTCTACCCGATCGATCACGCTTTACCGCTAGCTGCCTAGATGGCGGCACTTGTATATTGTGTGGTGCTTGAGCTTACGAAAAGCTACGTGAGCTTCGTCACCCCCTCCCGCCGCCCGCGTGCTTCCATCGCCGACGCCCGCACGACAGTCACTGGCAAGGTCTACAGGTGAGTGCAAGTTCTTTTAATTTATTGCCATTTTATTGCTGCTTCCGTGTAATCATTCGCCCGCCCGCTCGCTTATGTGTATTTGATTTATATCTTTAGTTTGATTACTAGCTTTTGTTTACCGCTATATAGTTTTACCGCTCCGCTAATTATAAGTGACAAACATTTGTCACGTACCGCTTAGGACGGCTATTTACACGCCTTTCTACAACCCCGCTTTATATGCTCCCGCCGCAGGAGGGCTATTTACACGCCCCCTTGCTACCCCAGTCCCCTTCACACTCATAAGCTAGACCGCGCGAGAGAGAGTCGGGCAGACTTTTCATGATGCGAATGCGGCAGTGCGACGTCACGCCGCGCGCTTATTCACATACACTACACAAGCGCAACGTGTGAATGTTTTGAACGTGAGCTACACGGTAGGCGGAGTGGGGGTGTTAGGTTTTTTTCGTTACGGAATTTCTTGATTCGGTCACTGTTCTAAAAAGCCCGCCATAAAATCTATGCAATAGCTCGAGGTTGTTTCGAGGTAGCCTCCAGAACACTTGTGCCCTCGACTGTACCCACCGCGACCGATAATACCAGCGCAATTATTTCTCTCCCCAAAACCTCCTCAACTCTTATAAGCGCGCGTCGACAAAATTAATAAAAATAAATCCGCTTCGAAAACGTGCCGTCAAAGAAGTCCCACTTCTATCACTTCTATCACGAATATCCATCATGGATATTGTCTAACAAATACTCGTTAAGAATAAATAGATCCGAGTAATTGATGCAGCAATGTAAATCAAAGTTTTATTTACATCTATATATACCGAAGGATAAAAGGATATTTGATTTAAGTGATATTTATCTTTGTAATTAAAGGTCCTTTTTATTTGTTATCAGATATGAACTGTTCGATGTTTTTAATTGAACTTCAATTAAATTTACTCTATTCAAAATAGCTGAAGAAGTTTTTTTGTTATGATATTTTATCCCAAACTTTAAAACTTTAAATGGCCTCTCCTTTTTTATTGCTTAGATGCGTGAACGAGCTCACAGCCCACCGGGTGTTAAATGGTTACTGGAGCCCATAGACATCTACAACGTAAATGTGCCACCCATCTTGAGATATAAGTTCTAAGGTCTCAAGTATAGTTACAACGGCTGCCCCGCCCTTCAAACCGAAACGCATTACTGCTTCACGGCAGAAATAGGCAGGGTAGTGGTACCTACCCGTGCGGACTCACAAGACGTCCTACCACCAGTAATTACGCAAATTATAACTGAGAGTTTGATTTTTATTACACGATTTTATTCCAAGATTTTTTGATGTGATAGTTTTTATAAATTTTTAAACTTTAAATGGCTCTCATGTAAAATTGTAAAAATGTCGTTTACAATCAAATAATCTTTCAACCCTCGATATAACTAATTGAGTAACAATTATAATTGTAATGTTACGAGCCAATAGGCAATAATAATAGGTCACAATAATAATTATCAGACCCAAAACATATCGACGCTTGAAAGGCAAACGTGACTAAGCGACAATGCGTGAACTTTACAGTAGACTAATTTAAAGTTGAAATACCTGAAAACAAAATATATTTTAATGAATCTAGCTGTAAGATTGAAATGATTTTAATAGACCTAGAAATATATATTTTTTGCGCATCGAATATGGTTATTGCCTATCATTTATGTATAAAGCAGTTATTGTCGCTTAGTCACGTTTGCCTTTCAAGCGTCGGTATACATGTGGGAAAACACATTACTATTTTACTATGTATGACGTCACATGTGGTTAATAGTTTCGATTTATCATTAACCAATTTCACTGATTATAAACTGAACGGACATACAAGCACATCGCTGTGACGGCTAGCACTCACTGATGCCCCTAGACATCAGCTGAAAACTTCAGACTTTTATCACTCTCTGATACTGAATTATTAATAATAACATTGTCAATATTGTCCGCAGTTTTGCTCCGATTCATTCCTTGGGTAATAACAGAGCCGGATTACCCGTAATTTGGGGAACTTTTTTAAAGGCTAGCAACACATGTTTTTCTGGGGTTCCCCGTGCGCTATGCTGTCGATGCTCCAGGCCGGCAGCTCCACTTTGGCGGTGTGGGTCGCGCGGTCGTCGGTTGTGCTGGCTGCCAGCCAAACGAGGATCATTTAGTCTCTTCTTCCTCCACCTTATCCCATTGGGTGAGGTAGGCAAAGCTAATTCTTCTCTTCCATTCTCTTCTATCAGCCGTCATCTCAACACTCAGTCCTCTCTCTCTCATATCTTTACTGGTGGTAGGACCTCTTGTGAGTCCGCGCGGGTAGGTACCAACACCCTGCCTATTTCTGCCGTGAAGCAGTAACGCGTTTCGGTTTGAAGGGTGGGGCAGCCGTTGTAGATGTCTATGGGCTCCAGTAACCAGTTAACAACAGGTGGGCTGTGAGCTCGCTCACGCAGGGTCTAAGGTCTTAGTATAGTTACAACGGCTGCCCCACCCTTCAAACCGAAACGCATTACTGCTTCACGGCAGAAATGGGCTGGGTGGTGGTACCTACCCTCACTTACAAGAGGTCCTACCACCAGTAAGTAGTTACCATTGTTTGAGCAGCGGCTTGGCTGCACGGCATTGGTAACCAGTCACCATCAGATACGCCCGTCTAAAGACAATAGCCACTGCACCAGGCTCCCGAGTAGTGGACTGGAACTAAGAGCCCGCGGTCAGCAGCCTCGCTAATCAAAAAGCCCATAGGTTTACCTGTTGGAATTTTCTCTTCTGTTGAATCATAGGATCGCAGCGAGGAGACCAGGTTACTGGAGGACAGTTGCAGCAGTGATATCGCGGTGTTCTTGAACACTTTTTCGATGCCCTGAACAGTGAGTTAGCCTTAGGTTCGGGCGGCTAAGAGATATGCGGCAGAACACTTGGATGTGCCCCGTGAGGTCCATGGGCGACGGTGACTGCTTACCAGCTTATATCGCCAGGCAATATACTCGTTAAAACATATCATGTTACTGGTGGCTGGACCTCTTGTGAGTCCGCACGGGTAGGTACCACCGCCCCGCCTATTTCTGCCGTGAAGCAGTAATGCGTTTCGGTTTGAAGGGCGGGGCAGCCGTTGTACTGTTAAAAGTGAGACTTTAGAACTTATATCTCAAGGTGGGTGGCGCATTTACGTTGTAGATGTCCAGGACTCCAGTAACCACTTAACACCAGTTGGGCTGTGAGCTCATTCACCCAACGAAGCAATAAAAAAAAATGTGCTATGTGAAATCGAGTACCTGATCGTGCAGCGCGGACGTTTCGCAGTAAGCGGCCCCGATGGTGGCGGCATACTGCGTCGCCTCATTGTAAGGGACCGCTCTCAGGGATTCTAGATCGCTTTTATTGCCGACAACGGACAACACCATCGCCTCTGGAACATTGCTGAAACAAAGACTGAAGGGCTGAAATTCGTCCAGGTCTAGAGCAAGGATGAGCAGCACGCGACCAGCCAGGCTTTTCTAAAATTTTGAATTTATTTTATCGACTTTTCTCCCATCAATTCGTTTTTCTCTTCTTCACTTGTGTGTGTTTTATCTTGCATTAAAATTTATATATGAAATCTTTAATTATTTTTAATTTTTTATTCTTTTTCTTTAATTATTACCATCCCTCTCCTATTTAAACGCAACACAGTCTTGAGGGGGCATAGGTTGACCGAAGAAGACATGGATGGAGTGTGTGAATGACGATATGAGAGAGAGAGGAGTGAGTGTTGAGATGACGGCTGATAGAGGAGAATGCAAGAGAGAATAATTCACTGTGCCGACCTCAACTAGTGGGATAAGGTGGAGGAAGACGAGACTATATGACTCTCGTTTCGCTGGCAGCCAGCACAACCGATGACTGCACGACCCACACCGCCAAAGTGGAGCTGCCGGCCTGGAGCATCGACAGCATAGCGCACGGGGAACCCCAGAAAAACAAGTGTTGCTAGCCTTTAAAAAATTCCCCAAATTACGGGTAATCCGGCTTTGTTATTACCCAAGGAACGAATCAAAGCAGAACGGTGGACTTATATTGACAATGTTATCTATACTAATATATAAATCTACAGTGGTTTTTACGGATGTTCCGTTATAACTACTGAACCGTGCATCCGATTGACTTGAAACTTGGTATCCATATAGAAAATACATGTACTTAATGGATAGGCTAATATTTATATAAGTGTTAGACTCCCTACACCAGTTGCGGGGGCGTTAATGATGAGAATCTTTGTGGGGGTGAGAAATAATAATGTTAATTTTAAATGACCAGCGAAGCGGACGGGCACAGCTAGTCATTAATAATTCAGTATCAGAGAGTAACAAAAGTCTGAAGTTTTCAGCTGGTGCTGGTCGCACCTAGTGGGATAAGGTGGAGACAAAGAACAAGAGTCTTGAACTCATAAATTGTGAACCGAAAAACAAATCCTTACCTTTGTAGTTCTTTGACCCAGCCCTTGATGGCTGTGAAGCTTTGCATGCTCGTGATGTCGAAGACCAGCAGCGCGGCGTTGGCGTTTCTGTAGTACATCGGGGCCATTGACCTGAACCTCTCCTGACCAGCCGTGTCCCAGACCTGTGGAAGGGCGGCACTGTGCTCAGCGTCTTTTTCATGTGAAACATCTATAGCCGCACGTAAAGCCGATTTCTGGCGTGGCGACGCATGCCGTGACGACGCGTCGCCATGCGCAATCGACTGTGCGATTCTCTCCCACTCGATCCGGCGTTAAGCCATCTCTCTCGCTACACTGAGCTCGGATACCTATAGTGTATACTCCGTAGTGTATACAGTGTTGTTTACTACAGTACACATAACCTGTGTTTTACTTGAAAACAAGTTATTTTTTCGTAATATTTTATTTTATCATTATGGCATATTTAGTTCCTATCACAATCTGTTCTTTTCTGTATATTACTTTTACAAAATAATGTCGATGTTTCACATCTGCCAGGCGTTCCGTGACGGCTCACATTTTTTTATTTATTGCCTTTGTAGGCAGACGAGCGTACAGCCCACCTGATGGTGAGTGGTTACCGTAGGCCGTGGACTTCAGCAATGCCAGGGGTAGAGCCAAGCCGCTGCCTACCGTTTAATACTCTCCACAAGCCTCGTTTGAAGAAGGACATGTCATAGCGCTCGGGAAACACAGTGGAGGGGAGCTCATTCCAAAGCCGGATGGTACGTGGCAAAAAAGACCTCTGAAAACGCGTCTTGCTACCGTCAGCCCTAACTAATGAGGTCGGACTCTAGCATGGATCGTATCGCGGCCGAAATAGAGACTACTTTTTTCGGTCCAAGGATAAAGCTGCTTTCAGACTACGCTATAATATAATAGCATATAGTACATAGCTCATAGAACAACAATATCGCGCACCATATATTGTTATAGACACGTTCACACTGTACTACACTATATATGATTGGCTAAGTATACGTTGCTATACTATATGGCGCTATAGTATAGCGTAGTGTGAAAGCAGCTTTAGACGTACTTAATAATAATAATTTACAGCATCGATGGATTTTCCTGACACACCAGCCAAATAAAACCAGTCACATACACACACGGCTACATTAACGCTATGTTAAGTCGGTAAGAGTAACGCCATCTATCGCCGAATGGGCGAACGAATATCGAATGATCTAGTAGCATTTGGAACGCTCGAGAAGTACAACGCCATCTATTGTCAGATAGCGGAAACACGCAATACTCGACTTGTGTGGAATATTCTCGACTATTCTAGGGATTTCGTCTCGACTATAAAACAGTTGCAGAGATGGCACGCAGTCAGTCAGTAATCGGAACTACTCGAAGTGAAACAGCGAACGGATCACCTGAAGCGAAGCGGATGAAGTAAATTGAGAATTTTAAAGTTTTTTAAGTGTTCTAAGTGCTAATACAGTCTTAATTTACACTTCGGTAGATTTCTTTTTATTTATCCCGAACCCCAGCGCGTAACAGTTAGTTTACGAACCGGGGACCGAAAGTGGGACGGACGTTTCAAAAGTCTGCCCAGCGGTGGATTTACACTAGGGGCAGTCGGGGCAAGTGCCCAGGGCGGTAAATTTTTGAAAGTAAAATTTTTTTTTAGTCCTGTCAAGATTACTATTATTGCTATTAACTAATAATTTTCTGTTTACTTAATAATTCAACAAATTCAATTCATCCATTATTTGTGAATTATAATTTTGGCACTTTTGGTAAAAATTAATAATCAAAATGATTTAATCAATTTATTTCCTCAGAAATTTAAAACAATAGATTTTTCCATTTTCTGGAATTAAAGAAATTTTGATGCAATATAATTATTAGTCACCCTTAGTGCAAAATTTATAATTATTAGAAAAAAAAAACAAATATTTATTTATTATTTTGGAATATATAACACTAGCGACCCGCCCTCGCTTCGCTTCGGAAGCATTAAATTTTATTGTTGATAGGCGAAGCCCGCCATGTTGCGCGCGGCACGACAATAACTGCGGGTGACGCCGCGGGGCGAAGCTAGTCTAAAAAAAGCAGCCTAAGTTACTCCTTATATCATCAGCTACCTATTAGCGAAAGTCTCATCAAAATCGGTCCAACCGTTCCAGAGATTAGCCGGAACAAACAGACAGACAGACAGACGGACAATAATTGTAAAAAAACGATATTTTGGTGTATGTACCGTATATATATTCATATGTATGTAGTAAAAAGCGGTTATTTCAATACTACAAACAGACACTATAATTTTATTTATATGTATAGATATGATAAAGTTTCTGCAATAAATTATTTTAAATTTGAAAAATAAAAGATATTAACTATAAGTTTAGGGTAAAATTTCAGTATTGGGGCGGGTTTTTTTCCGGTGCTCAGGAGTGGCATCAAGTCTAAGTCCGGCCCTGAGTCTGCCTCACCTACCACCACACCAGCGGTTGTAGCGATGTCAGTACATCTAATGGCGCATTTGCGTACCACCGGAACGACAATGAATTATCAATTATTTATGTGAGTTCCGATAGCAATGTTATCAAAACGTTATTCGACTCATAATATATATTAAAGTACAATAATTCATGATAAGCAAATAATCACCAATAAATTTGCTATTGTTATTATATATCAAAATTTTAGTTACAAGACGGACCTTACAGAATTAATAGCATCGGTAGGCAGCGGCTTGGCTCTGCCCCTGGCATTGCTGAAGTCCATGGACGACGGTAACCACTCCCCATCAGGTGGGCCGTATGCTCGTCTGCCTACAAAAGGCAATAAAAAAATAAAAAAAAAAGTGTGTGTGTCCGCTCCGACGCACGACTGGAGTTTACTGGATATAAATATAAATTTGTGTCAGTTGAATACAGTAAAATATGCATTTATTAAAAAAGCTTTATTAATAAATGATTTGTAGCGGGTTATATTCGGGTATCAACCCACTAACAGTTGATACGTTCAGGAATCGAACCCGAACGGCGTCCGGCCACAAGCANGTTTAAACAAAAGGATTTTATTATCATAGACATGAATACAAAAAAGTTAAATTAGATAAAGTTTAAACAAAAGGATTTTATTATCATAGACATGAATACAAAACAGATGGCGCGTAACGGAAAAATGTGACGCGTAACCGAAAAATGTGACGGTAAATTTTTTTCCAACGCCGATAAGGAAGTTTCACTTCAATAAAATAAGAATAAACGCAAATATTCAATATACGAGCCTGTATTTTATTTATACACAGCTTTAGACGTAATAATAATAATTTACTGCATCGACGGATTTCCTGACACACACAAACAAAAACTTTTATATCAGTCACATATACAACACATTACGTTATGTCGGTAAGAGTAACGCCATCTATCGCCTAATGGGCGAACGAATATCGAAGGATCTAGTAGTACTTAGAACGCTCGAGAAGTACAACGCCATCTATTATCAGACTGCGGAAACACAATACTAGAGATGTGTGGAATATTCTCGATAATTCTAGGGATGTGGTATGGGCTATATAAGCGTTGCAGGGATGGCACGCAGTCAGTCAGTAGCGAAACAGCGAACGGATCACCTGAAGCGAAGCGGAAGAAGAGAATTGAGAATTTTAAAGTGTTTTAAGTGTTTTAAGCTAATACAGTTTTAATTTGCACTTCGGTAGAAATTTTTTTTATTTATCCCGAACCCCAGCGCGTAACAGTAAGTTAACGAACCGGGGACCGAAAGTCGGACGGGCGTTTCAAAAGTCTGCCGCCTGACCTACCACTACACCAGCGGTTGTAGCGATGTCAATACATCTAATGGCACATTTGCGTACCACCGGAACGACAATGAATTATCAATTATTTATGTGAGTTCCGATAGCAATGTTATCAAAACGTTATTCGACTCATAATATATATTAAAGCACAATAATTCATGATAAGCGATAAATAATGACCAATACATTCGCTATTGTTGTTATATATCAAAATTTAAGTTACAAGACGGACCTTACAGAATTAATAGCATCGTTAGGCAGCGGCTTGGCTCTGCCCCTGGCATTGCTGAAGTCCATGGGCGACGGTAACCACTCACCATCAGGTGGGCCATATGCTCGTCTGCCTACAAAGGAAAGAATGGAAAGCAGTCGACGTCGCCCAAAACACGTCATCTCGGATCCTCCCGATCCACTAGCGGTGCTTTTAGGTACCTCAAGCACCGGTCACCGTTCTCGTCGAACCCGTCGCTTGCAACGAAGGGCTCGACGAGTAAATTAAGCCTCAGACACAGCCCACTGAGTTTCCCGCCGGATCTTCTCAGTGGGTCGCGTTTCCGATCCGGTGGTAGATTCTGCGAAGCGTGTTAGCATCGTCGTCAGGTTTGAGCCCCGTGAGCTCACCTACTAGTTAAGGTTACGCTGGAATAGCCTCTCAAGGCTACCAGCTTAGGTAGGAAAAAAAAAACAGAATTAATCACTTAATGAGTTTTCTTCCAGCCAACCACAAAAGGTTCTGCACACATAATAAAACAGAGAAAACAGTGCACAAATTCAAATAAACAATAAATTATTTATATCTATACGTATAACTGTATTTTGGACTTATGTTTGTCATTGAACTGATTAGTGACGAAAAGTGGACAAAGGTCTGGCTTTGCGTTCATCCATTAGCGGCGGTGATTACTTACTATTAGGCGGGCCGTATGCTTATCTCTTTACAAAGGCAATAAAATACTAGAAATGTTACACAAATATTTGGTAAGTTTGTTTGTTGACACTACAAATTGCCCTGGTGTTTTCAGTACCGATCTATGTACTATTTAATTTTCTCTGCATGAGTAGACAAGCTTACGGGTCCATGGACAGCACGAGTGAATACCATCGCGCTTTTTTAGATTAAAAGACGAATACTGTGTACCGTATATTTGAAGAATTGGGACCAGAAGTAGAATAAGGACAAATCGTAATTGTCACAATGCTTTTCTGAGATTTACAACGTCATCTATTGTCAGATAGCGGAAACGCACAATACTCTACTTTTGTAGAATATTCTCGACAATTCTAGGGATTTCGTCTCGACTATAAAAGCGTTGCAGAGATGGCACGCAGTCAGGACTCTGGTACCCAGCGGGGGGCCCAGAGCGGAACTCCCGGTGCACCTCAAGACGTTAATTCGTCGGAAGAGGGCACTGAGGAGGCTCTGGGCGACATCTAGGTGTCCCAGGATTAAGCGCGAGCTCAACCGACTTGAGGGTGAGCTGGCGACTAAGATGCGGACTTACCGGGGTGATTCCTGGGAGGGGGGACTGTTGGACGCGTCCGNAAGAAAGAAGAGAAGAGAAGAGTGAAGAAGGAGACGAAGAAAGAAGTCGACCCCACACACATCTTCAAGCCTGCCTGATACTCCATCCAGCAGCGCATCACCCCTGCCTTATTAGGCAGGGAGCTACATGTCCGGGCAGAGGGGTTTCCCCGAGGCCCGCTCCGCGCCCCCGCAAGGGGACGCGACGACCCCACGACACGCAGTCAGTCAGTAATCCGAACTACTCGAAGTGAAACAGCGAACGGATCACTTGAAGCGAAGCGGAAGAAATGAATTGAGAATTTTAAAGTGTTTTAAGTGCTAATACAAAGTTAAATTGGACTTTGGTTCCACGAATTTTTTATTTATGCCGAACCTCAGCGCGTAACCTTATGTTTAGTGTTAAGTTATCTATATATCTATATATTAATACGTGAAGCCAAAAACTTTGTATCCCTTTTTACGAAAATTGCGCGGACCGAGGAGTATGAAATTTCTCACACTTATAGAGAATATAGAGAAGGAGTGCACAATGCTATTAATTTTTTAGAATATTCATTAAAAATACATTAAATCAATAAAAAAAAAACATTACACACACTGCCATATATTTGACGCGCACATACATACATATATGAGTATACACTTTGTTTATTATCAAAATTTTGTTATTGCTTAAAGTCAAATTGAGAATAGGTTATTATTGTTTAATATTATTTATCTATCTATAGTGTAGTCTTGGCGAAATCTGTGATTACAGAAATAAAATAATACTCGAAGTCTTTGACAATAGAATCATAACAGTGTACAAACTTATAATTTTAATTAACTATAGTCGAATTTCGACCATCAGGGGACAACTAGTTATTATTAATAATACCTCGTCCTGATATACCTGAAGTCGTCGTAGCCTAACGGATAAGACGTCAGGTGCATTCGTATGTAGCGATGCACCGGTGTTCGAATCCCGCAGGCGGGTACCAATTTTTCTAATGAAATACGTACTCAACAAATGTTCACGATTGACTTCCACGGTGAAGGAATATAACATCGTGTAATAAAAATCAAACCCGCAAAATTTTAATTTGCGTAATTACTGGTGGTAGGACCTCTTGTGAGTCCGCACGGGTAGGTACCACCGCCCTGCCTATTTCTGCCGTGAAACAGTAATGCGTTTCGGTTTGAAGGGTGGGGTAGCCGTTGTAACTATAATTGAGACCTTAAAACTTATATCTCAAGGTGGGTGGCGCGTTTGCGTTGTAGATGTCTATGGGCTCCAGTAACCACTTAATACCAGGTGGGCTGTGAGCTCGTCCACTCATCTAAGCAATAAAAAAAAAAAAAACCTTACAAATGTTTTGGTTATACCTACTGTTAATTTGTAAGAAGACTAAACTAAATAAATTAATTATGGCGTGAATTTCGTGACAGTAGTTAAGCTGGAATCAGTGCGTAGCGTTAAGTGCGTACCTGGAGTTTGACTCTTGCGTTTTCGACGCTAATGTTGCACGTGAAGAAAGACGCTCCGATGGTAGGTGAAACGTGCTTCGAGAACATCTTCCCGATGTAACGCACGACCAAACTCGTTTTGCCCACACCTGTAATTGAAACATCGGGAATTATCTAAAACTATTTACATACATTAGAAGATCCTCCATTCTTTATCTATATATTAATACGTGAAGCAAAAACTTTGTATCCCTTTTTACGAAAATTCCGCGCACGGAGGATTATGAAATTTTCTACACTTATAGAGAACTAGCGACCCGCCCTCGCTTCGCTTCGGAAACATTAAAACACACATGAAACAAAAAAAAAAAAAAAAAGTAAATAAAAAAGTAGCCTATGTTCATCAGGGACAATGTCGGCTTCTAATGGAAAAAGAATTTTTCAAATCGGTCCAGTAGTTTCGGAGCCTATTCGAAACAAACAAACAAACAAATCTTTCCTCTTTATAATATTAGTATAGATATGGAGAAGAAGTGCACAATGCTAATATTTTTTTAAAATAATGCATAAAAGATACATTAAATGAATAAAGAAAACATTACACACACTACATACCATGTATTTGACGTACACACGCATGCATACTATTTATTGTCAAACTTTTGTTCTTGACGTCTGTTGTCAAATTGAGAATACATTAAATATTGTTTGTCTTTGTTAATATTTTTTATAGTGTAGTCTTGGCGAAATTTGTGATTATAGAAGTATAAAATACAATCATAATAGTGTACAAACTTACAATTCCAATTAATTATAGTCGAATTTCGACTACTNCTATTTATTGTCAAACTTTTGTTCTTGACGTCTGTTGTCAAATTGAGAATACATTAAATATTGTTTGTCTTTGTTAATATTTTTTATAGTGTAGTCTTGGCGAAATTTGTGATTATAGAAGTATAAAATACAATCATAATAGTGTACAAACTTACAATTCCAATTAATTATAGTCGAATTTCGACTACTGCGGGACCTCTAGTTCATTATAAATAGCTATAATATTTTTACTGTCCTAAGTTGACACACACGTCATCTCAGATCCTCCCGATCCACTAAGGGTGCTTTTAGGTATATCAAGCACCGATCATCGTTCTCGTCGAACCCGTCGCTTGCGACGAAGGACTCGACGAGTGAATCAACCCATAGACAGCTCACTGAGTTTCTCGCCGGATCTTCTTAGTGGGTGGCGCTTCCGATTCGGTGGTAGATTCTACGAAGCACTGCTCTTGCTAGGGCCAGTGTTAGCAACACTCCCGGTTTGAGCCCCGTGAGCTCACTTACACGTCAAGGAGAAGCTGATATAGCCTCTCAGGGCTATCAGCATATACAGTATATATTATTATATACAGAACTAGCTGTACCCGTCCGCTTCGCTGGGCATTTAAAATTAACATTATTATTTCTCACCCCCACAAAGATTTTCATCATTAACGCCCCCGCAACTGGTGCAGGGAGTCCAACACTCATATAAATATTGGCCTATCCATTAAGTACATGTATTTTCTATATCGATACCAAGTTTCAAGTCAATCGGATGCATAGTTCAGTAGTTATAACGGAACATCCGTAAAAGCCACTGTAGATTTATATATTAGTATAGATATATACATATATATGCAGTTAGGAAACAGCTTCCGTTCGTTTGCCGCTAGGGGCTTTGAAATAGAACGGTAACAGTTCGCCGGGCGTCTTGCTCATTCGGTCGGAACGCTTCCTCGTACGCAACTCCGATAATTGAATTCACTGTCTGACCATATTATGGGCGGCTCCTACGTATAAAGCGTCATGTCAAATAACAGTACATTGTGCACCAAGGGAGAGAAAAGTAGGACATTTCCTCCCGCGTGAGATGTCCTACTTTTTCCCCGCGGTGTACATACTATTTTTTCTCCTACCAGACCGAAAGTTCGTGGAGTACCGAGCCGGGGTCCAGGGGCGAAGCCCTGGCAGGGGGTAGGGAGGGAGGAGCCCCTTATTAAAAACAATTTAACTGTTTTTTAATTTTTAAATAAACTACTACTTTTTTTTTTTTATTGCTTGGATGGTTGGACGAGCTCACAGCCCACCTGGGTTACTGGAGCCCATAGACATCCACAACGTAAATGCGCCACCCACCTTGAGATACAAGTTCTAAGGTCTCAAGTATAGTAACGACGGCTGCCCAACTTTCAAACCGAAACGCATTACTGCTTCACGGCAGAAATAGGCAGGGTGGTGGTACCCACCCGCGCGGACTCATAAGAGGTCCTACCACCAGTAAAAATTAAATAAGAATTAAATTAATTAATTAAATAAGAATTGTTTGATGAACTGATGAATGACTCATCTTTGACTTGACTATTAAATTTTATTGCCTTTTGTTTATTTCACTTTTACACTAAACACAATATTGAAAATTACCCGAGCACAACAATGGCGGAGAATTTTAGGTGCGTGAGAGCAGACGTAGGCACTAACGCGCATGCGCACTTGTCAGTACCCAGGGAGGAAAAGTTACACTTTCTTCCCTGTACAGCGGGAGGAAAAGCTAGACTTTCTTCCCTGTACAGCGGAAGGAAAAGCTAGACTTTCTTCCCTGTGCAGCGGGAGGAAAAGCTAGACTTTCTTACCTGTACAGCGGAAGGAAAAGCTAGACTTTCTTCCCTGTGCAGCGGGAGGAAAAGCTAGACTTTCTTCCCTGTACAGCGGAAGAAAAAGGTAGACTTTCTTCCCTGTACAGCGGAAGGAAAAGCTAGACTTTCTTCCCTGTACAGCGGGAGGAAAAGCTAGACTTTCTTCCCTGTACAGCGGAAGGAAAAGCTAGACTTTCTTCCCTGTACAGCGGAAAGAAAACCGAACTTTCGGCGTAGGTACGAGAAAAATAATAGTTTAAAAAAAACTAACAAAATACGCTTTTATAGAAAATGCAACTGAAAAATAGAAATATTTTTTAATAAATTTGAATTAAAAATTGTGTAAGAAAAAATGATTTTATTGTAATAAACCGTGGGGTGTTTTTCAGGATATTATTAAAATAACCCTTCTACTCATATCTGTTCATTAAATATTTATAACTATATAGTGATACCAGTGTTGTCTATCTTTAGCAAGCCCTGCTCCAGTTAGGAGGGGCTGTCAACTATATCTCATCGTCCCATCTTGTTTTTTATTGTCCGTGTAGGCAGACGAGCATACGGCCCACCTGATGGTGAGTGGTTACCGTCGCCCATGGACTTCAGCAATGCCAGAGCCAAGCCGCTGCCTACCAAAAATCCAACCATCTCATCTATTGCTTCTACCATCTCTAGGGTACCATTCGGTAATGATCTTTCCTCCCTCCCTTCTGTTAGACTTTATTGGAGCCCATTTCCTTATTGGTTAAAGTTTAGCATCAACATTGTCACGGAAGTCGAGTTATCGTGGTACATCTAAGTGTCCAACTTAATCCCCGCGAGCTTTACTACTTCATATTAGACGTCGCGTTATCAGCAATTTATCATTATTACAAGACCGGCCACTGTAAGCGATACGTTATCGCTGTGATAGCCGTGTAGATCTGCTCTTGACACGATAAGCCAATACAGAAGCGACTTTATAAAAGTCAAAGATTAATGCTGTTCTTTTTGAAAGGGACACGAAACATAATCTAAAATTATTGTTCTTAGTAAATATTTGGACCGTTTATTTTGAAAGTGGTGTAAGTCCATTTTTTTTTGTTTCGAGAAAATTAAAGGTTACTACTATATTTGTTGATTTAAAAATACAGGCAAATTATATGAGGTCTGGCTCTGCCACCTACCTCTGTCAATTGGACTTACACCACGTTCATAATCGACGATTATGCAATTTTTCATTTGCCGACCGATTTTAAGTTGTACAAAACATGGGATTTTTTTTAAGAAACTAAACACGGACTAGTTGTATATAAAAAAAGAAAAATGTGGTGTCGTGGGACACCAGGTAGGAACGAAGTTCCTTCGGCTAATGTAGAATCGACACAATTTGCAAAAAAAAATCGTGCTCAATTTTATGTAGGTTTTCTTGATTTTTCTCTTAAATTTTGCTGATTAGTTTTTATGTAAGTATAGGAAAGTATTTAGGAAATTCAGTATTTTAGGAAGTAATAAATTACGTAAAATAGAAAGAGAATGGATGAGAGAACGAAAAGAAAGAGCGAGAAAGAGAAAGGTATTATACACTACTCGCTTGTGTATGCGACTGTCGCGCCTGCGCACGTCTCATTTAACGGTTCTATTCCACGCACTTTTTTCCACGGATTTTTTCTTACGGTTTTACTATCACATTTTTTTCAGTTCGGTCGCGCAGCAAAATCCCTATCCCCTCCAAGCCTGCTGTAAGGAGCTTCGTTCCAAAAATTTACATTAAATTAAGCATGAATTACGTGACAGCTCATTTTTCTCAAAAATGGACTTACACCACTTTCAAAATAAACGGTCCATACATCGAAGGGTTTCCGAGGTTTCTGCAACATTACAGGAGAGACCTTGAAAGTTTAAAATTTCGAAAAAATATCATAACAAAAAAACTTTTTGCTAGCTATTTGAATCGGGTAAACTTAATTGAAGTTCAATTAAAAACATCGAACTGTTGATGCTGACACCAAATAAAACCTCGAACCCGTCGCTTGAGACGAAGGGCTCGACGAGTAAATTAACCCACAGACACAGCCCACTGACTTTCTCGCTGGATCTTCTCAGTGGGTCGCGTCCCCGATCCGGTGGTAGATTCTGCGAAGTGCGGCTCTTGCTAGAGTTCGTGTTAGCAACAACGTCAGGTTTGAGCCCCGTGAGCTCACCTATTAGCACGCTTCATATCAGCCAAGGGAGGGAAAAAAAAGAAAAAAAAAACTGTCCTAAATGGGTGGATGACTTCAAGGCTCACCAAGTAGTTAATGCTCAATCTCAACACGATTGCGTTCACATAAACTCATCAAGGCTCAACTTATACACAAACATCGTGCTAAGCAAGTTGGGTTTTAGTCAAACAAAAACTTTTCATCATTTCTACGCAGAGAACTGAATTAAGGGACATGTCTTAAAGGGTTTGGGGTCTGTAAATCTTGGGGTAAACCCAAAATTGATAATCCAATAGA